AGGTTGTCACTCAAAATCTCACGATACATGGCCCCATTCATTCTTTCCTTTACACGGATCAGTCGTCCTGGTCCCTTTGCAGAAACACAGCCCCAAAGCATGATGTTTCCACCCCCATGTTTCACAGTAGGTGTTCTTTGGATGCAACTCAGCATTCTTTCTCCTCCAAACACGTCTAGTTGAGTTTTTACCAACAAGTTCTATTTTGGTTTCATCTGACCATATGACATTCTCCCAATCCTCTTCTGGATCATCTTAATGCTCTCTAGCAAACTTCAGACGGGCCTGGACATGTAGTGGCTTAAGCAGGGGGACACGTCTGGCACTGCAGGATTTGAGTCCCTGGCGGCGTAGTGTGTTACTGATGGTAGCCTTTGTTACTTTGGTCCCAGCTCTCTGCAGGTCATTGACTAGGTCCCCCCGTGTGGTTCTGGGATTTTTGCTCACCGTTCTTATGATCATTTTGAACCCACGGGGTGAGATCTTGCGTGGAGCCCCAGATCGAGGGAGATTATCAGTGGTCTTGTATGTCTTCCATTTTCTAATAATTGCTCCCACAGTTGATTTCTTCACACCAAGCTGCTTACCTATTGCAGATTCAGTCTTCCCAGCCTGGTGCAGGTCTACAATTTTGTTTCTGGTGTCCTTTGACAGCTCTTTGGTCTTGGCCATAGTGGAGTTTGGAGTGTGACTGTTTGAGGTTGTGGACAGGTGTCTTTTATACTGATAACGAGTTCAAACATAGGGTTGGGTATCGTTTGAATTTCCACGATTCTGATTCCGATTCTACTTTTCGATTCCGGTTCTTAACGGTTCTCAATTCCGATTCTTTGAGGGGCAGGGTAAAAAAATGATACATGCTTCTTCCACCAAAAAAATTACATTTATTCGAGAAACTTTTACACAGGTTAGTTTACAGTAATATTCACATTAATCAGTCTGTTTATATTCACTGCTATGTAACTCTAACCTGAGAACCACTGAAGCTCAGTCCAACTTTTAAAAACAGTTCTTGTTGAGAAAAACAAGCATATCTGCCTTCTCAGGCATACCGGGGAAGAAATGTTTGAACATTTTAAAGTAAAATGCTTCAATCTGTTTGTGAATTGTGATCAAAATGTTTGAGACCCACTGAGATAACTTAGACTAAAGTGAACTATCTAAACACTCAGAGTCCTTTACCTCACTGAGCTGTAGTTATCAGCCACTCAGTCTGACTGGAGAGGACTCTCCCTCCACATCATTGTAGAAACATCTTCTTCTTCCGTTAGAGCAGCTAGCACCAGATGCTAATAACAACAGCGCGTACCGGTGCACCCCCCCTCGCTCGCACGCTCACTCGCACTTTGGCTGTGAGCCAACATCCCCCATTTTCATCACTTATAGCGCCCATCGTACAGGGCAAATGAAAAGTGTAACCGGAATGAAAAGGGTGTTACATTTACTTAATTATGAATGTTGTTACATCAAAGCCGAACATTAGGATGAGCACCAACGGTCAAAACATTTGTTTTCCTCCCAGAGCTGTCAGCGCAGCACCTCCACAGATCTGGTGCCCTAGGCGAACATCTATAACGCCAGTGCGACGGGCTGGCCCTGGTCTCAGGTTACGCTGTAGGAAGTGTAGGTACAACCAGAGCCATATAATAGTATTATATAATATATAATATAATATGGCGCTGGGTACAACCATAGATATATATAAACACGTGTTTATATATATCTATGGGTACAACGCTACATTTCCCACCCCGCCGCAGTCATACAGTAGGCTACGGAGAGCGGCGAGAAACATTTCCTCAGGCATCGAAAAGCGGAACCGAAATTCACATTTCTAAATGATGCCGTTGGAATCGAAATGTTGGAACCGGTTCCGGTTCGGAACCGGTTCTCGGTACCCAACCCTATTCAAACAGGTGCCATTAATACAGTTAACGAGTGGAGGACAGAGGAGGCTCTTAAAGAAGAACTTACAGGTCTGTGAGAGCCAGAAATCTTGTTTGTTTGTCGGTGACCAAATACGTATTTTACCGAGGAATTTACCAATTAATTCATTAAAAATCCTACAATGTGATTTCCTGGATTCTTTACCCCCATTCTGTCTCTCATAGTTGAAGTGTACCTAGGATGAAAATTACAGGCCTCTCTCATCTTTTTAAGTGGGAGAACTTGTACAATTGGTGGCTGACTAAATACTTTTTTGCCCCACTGTATGTGAGAATGCTGTTCATTGATTACAGTTCAGCTTTCAACATCATTGTGCCCTCCAAGCTGGTAATCAAGCTCAGAGACCTGGGGCTCAACAGCGCCCTCTGTGATTGGATCCTGAACTTCCTGACGGGCAGACCCCAGGCAGTGCGGGTGGGAAACATCACATCCTCCACCCTGATCATCAACACCGGTGACTCTCAAGGCTGCGTGCTCAGCCCTCTCCTCTACTCCCTGTTCACACACGACTGCGTGGCCACACACAGCTCCAACACCATCGTGAAGTTTGCTGACGACACAACAGTCATCGGCCTGATCACCGACGGCGACGAGACGGCGTACAGAGAGGAGGTCGAAAACCTGACATCTTGGTGTCAGGATAACAACCTCCATCTCAACGTTAGCAAAACCAAGGAGCTGATTGTGGACTACAGGAAGCAGCAGAGAGAGGGACACGCCCCCATCGCCATCAATGGGACTACGGTAGAGAGAGTCAGCAGCTTCAGGTTCCTCTGTGTCCACATCACTGAGGACCTGACATGAACTCATCAATGAGGACCTGACATGGACTCATCACTGAGGACCTGACATGGACTCTTCACACCACCACCATCACCAAAAAAGCTCGACAGCGGCTCTTCTTCCTCCGCAGGCTGAGGAGGTTCAACATGGACTCCAGGATACTCTGCAACTTCTAATCTACAGGTGCACCATAGAGAGGATCCTGACCTTCTACAGGTGCACCATAGAGAGGATCCTGACCTTCTACAGGTGCACCATAGAGAGGACCCTGACCTTCTACAGGTGCACCATAGAGAGGATCCTGACCTTCTACAGGTGCACCATAGAGAGGACCCTGACCTTCTACAGGTGCACCATAGAGAGGGTCCTGACCTCCTACAGGTGCACCATAGAGAGGATCCTGACCTCCTACAGGTGCACCATAGAGAGGATCCTGACCTCCTACAGGTGCACCATAGAGAGGATCCTGACCTTCTACAGGTGCACCATAGAGAGGATCCTGACCTTCTACAGGTGCACCATAGAGAGGATCCTGACCTCCTACAGGTGCACCATAGAGAGGATCCTGACCTCCTACAGGTGCACCATAGAGAGGATCCTGACCTTCTACAGGTGCACCATAGAGAGGATCCTGACCTCCTACAGGTGCACCATAGAGAGGATCCTGACCTTCTACAGGTGCACCATAGAGAGCATCCTGACCTTCTACAGGTGCACCATAGAGAGGACCCTGACCTTCTACAGGTGCACCATAGAGAGGGTCCTGACCTCCTACAGGTGCACCATAGAGAGGATCCTGACCTTCTACAGGTGCACCATGGAGAGCATCCTGACCTTCTACAGGTGCACCATAGAGAGGATCCTGACCTTCTACAGGTGCACCATAGAGAGGATCCTGACCTTCTATAGGTGCACCATAGAGAGCATCCTGACCTTCTATAGGTGCACCATAGAGAGGATCCTGACCTTCTACAGGTGCACCATGGAGAGCATCCTGACCTTCTACAGGTGCACCAGAGAGGATCCTGACCTTCTACAGGTGCTCCATAGAGAGGATCCTGACCTTCTACAGGTGCACCATAGAGAGCATCCTGACCTTCTACAGGTTCTCCATAGAGAGGATCCTGACCTTCTACAGGTGCACCATAGAGAGCATCCTGACTGGCTGCATTACGGCCTGGTACGGCAGCTGCACCGCCCTCAATCGTAAGGCTTTACAGAGGGTGTTGAAAACTGCACAGAACATCACCAGGACGGAGCTGCCCTCCATGGAGGACCTATAATCCCAGCGGCTCAGGAAGAAAGCCCTCAGGATGATCAAAGACCCCCATCCCCCCAGCCACAAACTGTTCTGTCTGCTGCCGTTACCGCAGCATCCGGACTAAAACCACCAGACTCAGGGACAGTTTCATCCCACAGGCAATAAGACTGTTAAACACCTGCACTTTTGAAATAACATCCATAACATTAATCTGGCTGCAATTTACAAATTATGTATCTAATATATCATATTCCAATCACCATGACTCTTATTGCACTATTTCACAATGTTGTTGTTGTTGTATTTGTTGCTGTTTTTCTGTTTTATTGTGTTGCACTGTTGGAGGAGCCTGTGACCTAAGAATTTCATCGACATAACTACACTGTAGATATGTACGTATGACTAATAAAAGCCTTGAACCTTGAAGCTTGAACACACAAATACCTGTTTGTAGGATACAGTCAGTGTTGGTTTGTATATCACCAGATTTTTCCTTTACACTTTAATATACTTCTGTCTAAAACTTCCACCAGTGAACAATTTCATAATGCACTTTAACATCTTGACAGTATAGAAATTGATACATTTTTTGTTTGTTTAAAGGTTCTTCTGTTGTAATCTACTGTAAAATCTCTTGGGTAAAGTCTAACTTCAATTGGTGGAACAAGCTCCACGTTTATATTAGGATAGCAGAAAGTCTACACATATTCTGTCACAAACTGAAAACCCACCTGATTCGCTTGTACCTTGGCCATTAAATACAATACAAATAAATTAATAAAGAGTTTAGCCCATTTGAGACTAAAGCACCAGCACTTATAAAGGTTTGGTGTATTTGAAGTGAATGTCAGCACTTCTCTTGTTGTTGTGATATATCTTTATGGTTTATTGCACTCATTGTAAGTCACTTTGGATAAGATCTTCAGCTACATTAAATGTAATCTCATGTAGTGATTTGCTGTTGCTGTATGACTATAGTGAGGAAAGCTGCACAGAGCTTGGATCTTACCTTTCAAACAGGTATCTGATGAGTAAGAAGGCGATGGTGTAGGGGACCGTGACGTAGAGATGTGAGGCTCTGGCGTAGACCAGCCCGTCCCTGTCCTCCAGGTCAGACCACGTCAGGTTCACAGGCAGCCAGACTCTGTCCCACCAGAACCAGTCATACAGCGAGTCCAACATCCCTCCACCCTAACAGAACCACACATACCAACCTAGGTTATATAGCACTAGATACCAATACACAATACACGCACCACTGCCAGTAGCAAACATCTGGAAAGAGAGTGAACAAAGTTCCTTCTTCATCTGAAATGTCCTTTAAATATGCCATAGAGCCTGGTCTCAGGGAATGTGCAGTGGGATGGTTCCTCTAAAATGTATTCCCTTACAATTATTAGTTACCTGTAAAATAAATGTATCAACAAATAAAAGGAATGTAACCTCATTACTTTTGGTTACTCTTGGATTAGCCTACCTCAATATCAAATGCATTGCAAATAAATTCAAGAGAAAATAAATATCAATAAGATGTTTTTTACTGGAGTGTCTTATGTTTGACAACAGAACAATATGACCTCAGAAAAAAAGAAACCAATATATTTAGTATGAAAAAACATTTTATTTATATTAAAAGCTGCCTTGCCTTTAGCATATTCAGACAGCAGCCTAAACACCAACAATGAAACGCATGAGAACATACTACAGTTTAAAGAAGCACAAATAAAGTCTGAGCTGACAGAAAATGCTCCATTTTAGTTTAATACACACAGTTAAGCTCACACACACTATGTTACTACCTGCTGAATTAAAAGCGGAACAAATGAAGCAACGAAAGTGAACACCATAAAGCAGATTCAGGCAGTAGGCGTATAGATTCACACTTAAAGTGGACCTATCATGCTATATTTGAATAATATATTGTAGGGCCATACCTATATAAAACATGTTTCTGAAGTTGCAAGTTTTTGCAAGGGCTGATTCTGTGGCAAATGAACAGCAGCTGACCACGCCCCCCTGCAAAGGAGGGCGAGGCACGAGTCTGTATCAGATCCGTTGCAGCCCTGTTTTTAGAGATTTGGGTATGGAGGAAAAGGGAGAGGGTTGTGTTTTCTGACACTTGGTGAGTTCCCTGACACACCGGGGACACATATTCATGTATAAAAGACGTACAAAGGTGCATTTTTCACGATAGGTCCCCTTTAAAGTATTAGCCTACAGAACAGTACAGCTTACAGAGAAGAGATAACAGCTGATCCTTTACAACAATATATGCTCTTTTTAGTTTTTACTAATGTTACATTAATCTGATTACGTCTTTTCATGTAACTAAGGAAATACAGTTGCTTTTTTTGTGTATCCTGATTACGTTATCCTGTTAATTGTAAACCCTTATTCCCTGAATCTGTTTACACAAAAAACATCACTTTTGAAATACCTTTAGTTAAAAATATTAAATCATACTGGGAAATAACAATAGCGCAAAAGTCTAACTGAGTTATTTTTTACTCTTGAGATGGGGTGAAGTTAAATAGCAGGCACACCGCCGACGGAGACGCTACAGTTACTGTAGTGTACATAAAGGTCTATTTCCTAAACAAATATTGACCCGGTGATCCCTCCCTTTTCTCAAGATCACGACTACGCCTATTTCACACACAGAGAGAGAGAGAGAATACATATTTTACAAAAAAATGACAGTGAAAGCTTGAGCTGCAGCCTAGCAACCGATCACAGTTTAGAAAGCAGTTAATGTTCTTTTTTATTTTATTATGTTTATATTTTATTCCACCTTTTAAATATTTAATGCTTAAACACATTGCTGGTGTAACAAAATAATTTCTCTCATATTTGTTCAGGTGTCAATAATCTTCTGTATTACAGCAGATATTCTACCTGGGGTCCATAGTAAATTGTGACAAAGAAAAATCACCAACTAACCATGACAATACTAAACACACTGACATTGACATAATATTTAAAAGTAACATAACTGTAAATTATAAAGTCATTTTATATGCATTAAAAATAACATTGCACACAATATTAGAAACAACCAGCTGAGCTTAATTCCTAGGATATCAGTTCTATATCGTATAAGGCTTCGCCCTCTAAGGCTATCGCTATTGGGTAATCCCACTGTGTATGCGCAGCACTGACAGACTTAATCCATGCCAACCTATGACGTGGGCCCCACCTACGGCCTCACTTCCGTATAAATAGGAAGTAGGCCCAACAATCTGCTCCCATTTTTCTTCAGCACTCCGTTGCAGAAGCACTGTCAGGCACAAGCTCTTTTCCGAGCTGCAGGCTAAAAAGCAAAGATTCCTCTTCTAAAAAGCTTTTGTTCCAATTATTAAGATGCCAAACAAACCGTCTGTCTTTAAAACCTGTCGGTTAATTAGCCTGTTGAACCCCATCCCTGTTTTTCAGGTCTCAGGCTCGAAAATGACATTTCCAGAACAAATTACCATAACTACACTTCTAAAAAGGGGAAAATTAATAATCTTTGTTCTCAAAGTAATGATAAACCTGTGAGTTGGATGTAGAAAAGTCAGAATCAATATAGATGTTTTTTATTTTAAAGAAAATTCAGATTGAACATAGTAAAAAATTGTAAATGTTAGTGTCCGTCCAAAAATTATTTGTTACTTATAGTGAAAACCACCCTTGAATGATGGGATGGTAGACTAAAAGCTTTAGGAATCCAAAGTACAACATATAATAAGTACCCTGTATCAAGATTGATGCAAAACAAGTGACATTTGACCTTTTTAGCAAAAAAAACTCCACCTCTGGGGTGATTTGGGTGGAAATGGGCGTTTTTGCCGTTTCTCTGGAACCTATTGGTCAATTTTGGTGATTGACATCTCTTTTTAACCGTTAGAGCCAATAGAATAGAAGGGGAATTTCCACATACACACACACGTTAACAAAAAAAAGTGGGGGCTTCGCGCATGCAGTTTTGGCCAGAGCGAACCTAGTTTACGCTCTGACATCTGAAAATGGAAAAGTCGGTTTATTGCTTATGGATTATCAGAAATCATTTCAAAGGGACACAGACACATTGGATTAACCTATGGATTAACCTTCAGCAGCGTTTTTATCGTTTTAATGCCATTGAAGACCACTTTTGACCAGACAACGACACAGATGAGCCATGTTGCCGTTTTAGCTATCTAGCGCCACATGTTTTGATGTCTGTTTATGTTTATAAAGTCGCGAGTTATTATCATCAGTGATGCAAATTAGTCGCTTTTCGGCGCCTCCCGCTTTTTTAACGCTGACTTGTGTAATTTTTTCACACACAGTGACATCACGAGCTACCCACAATGCAACACACGCCATATATATATATGGCGTATATATATAAATACACCATTTTCATGGAGGTGCAAATATAAACAGCTAGCTAACGTAGCCAGACAGAGTGCACTAGGTTTTTTTTCTGAATTAACGACCGAAGAAATCGCTGCATGTCTTCGGATTACATCTCTGGACTTGAGGGGGTGTGCTCTAGGTCGTAACCAGCGTAAACTAGAGCTGTGTGGGTTGTGGGATTGCCCTTACAGACTTCGTCGATTTTGGCTGCATCTACGTCTAATTTCTGGAAACACCAGGTGAATACCCCACTTGTCACAATAATATTATCATGCCATTGCATATATGTGGTATTTTAGAGTTGACTAGATATTGATTAAGGCAATAGACTATGATATTCAGTACAGGAAGCTTAGCAACACCTAGACGGTGTACGGCTAAACCCTTGGCCTGCTTGCACCTCGCGTAAAACGGCGGATACCGGAAGTACGGTGTCGCCCTCGGCCCAATACCCGTATGTGTGTGTGAAAGAATCCGTGGAGAACCGAAGAGTTTTCGTTTTGGGGGGGGGTATGTGTAACGTTGCTGCCTTCTTGGCCAGGTCAGCATTGCAAATGAGATTCTATCTCAATGCTTTTATCTGGGTAAATAAAGGTTAAATACAATTAAAATAAAATGCTCCCCCGGGAAGACTGTTTTTTAAATATTGAAGTTAGATGCATCAATCTGGTGCACTTTGAGAGCAAAATGAAGAGATATACGGATACCTCTCATCCATATGAAACAACTGTAAACAGATTGACTTTTTCTTTATGGATATAAAAGAAAGTAAAGCCTGACTCCTACTGGCGGCTGGTTAAATGACTCCTCGTCCCTGAGTACACTCACCATCTTTCAGCAGGAAAGGAGAGAGGGAATCCTTGTCCGGCGACAACCGCTGTCTTTTCGCACTATTATTAAGCCACGCTAACATTTTCGAAATGCTAACGTTATGTGATGTCTTTTCTGCTCTAGTCTATCTCTGCGGCGCGTCATAGGTACGCTGGGCATGTTTGTTGTCATGCGTCAGGGCCGGACTGGGACAATAAGCCAGGCCGGGAATTATACACCCAGCCAGGCCACTACCAGTTTTTCGTGCCATTTTGCTGGATTTATTTGTCAATATTTACAGCGTTGCTGCCCATAGTGATAGCCTTCTAGTTTAAATCTACTACCCAAAAATAAACATATGGAGATGGGTTACTATTTTAAAAAATGTGCAAATCTATTTAGGAACAGAACTGTATACATTTAAATAATCATAAAATCATAAGTACATGGCCATAACCAATAACATACCATATCCAATATGAAAAAACATTGAAACTTGTTTATTTATTTGTCTTTGGTTCATTTATAGTTGTGAGTGTGTCTGTGCTCCTGAACCAGCCTCACCCGTCTCCCCCCTCTCGTCCCTTCTCCTCTTTGAGGCAGCAGCAAAGACTAGTTTTACCTCTCAACAAGTTTATCTTGCCTTTTTTCACCTAGTTAACATTTTATTTTTATTATTCATGCATATTTTACTAATCACTCCCCCCTCAAATGGAAATATGTGTTTACATAAATGGTGACCAAACCGTTTGAGACCCACTGAGATAACTTAGACTAAGTTAACTATCTAAACACTCAGAGAGTCCTTTACTTCACCTGAGCTGTAGTTATCAACCTCTCAGTCTGACAGCAGAGGACTCTCCCTCCACCTTGTTGTTGAAACAGCTCCTTATATCCGTTAGCGCAGCTAGCTAACACCAGATGCTAACAATAATACACGTAACCGGTGCGCGCGCTTTCTCGCTCGCTCGCGCCACACATACACTAACACACACCCTCCC